TAGAAGCAATTGAAACGCGTACTGCATGCAGACAGGGCGGACAGAAGGAAATTCTACCAGTTGTTTGCCGACTGCACAAAAAAACATGACGCGTGACTGAGTCACGTTCGTGCCCCGACACGCCTGCACTGCCATCTAGCGTAATGGCATCAACCTAATTACCACATCTCGTAACCGCATTCCTACAAAAGCTCTGCTATCTTTTACGTCATCTACTCGGATTTACGTCACTATTTTCTGGTATCTTCGGGAGCCTTGTTCACGTCTGTCAGACAGGCGCCTAAGACGAGGACGGGAAAAATGTGACCAGATTATGGAGAAATTAAGCAAGAAAGTTTCACAAATGTCATTCTTCACCAAACACCGAGATTAAAAAATCGAGGGCGGATGGGCGAGAAAAGGAACATGCATGGGGGCACGTAAATTCATACGAAATTTTAGTCAGAAAATCTGAAGAGACTTTACAAGACCCGAGGATAAATGGGGGTTGATACCAAAACTGATATTAAAATTCGTAAGAAGGCGTTGAGTGCTCTGGTTCCAAAACGACCAGCTGAACAATTAGCATCTTCCGAAACACGAGAGCTCCGTGGAGTTTAATATTTTTATTCAAATTTCCAAATAACGGTGCCGGTTAACAGGAAATAATTGTGGAAGAATGAGGCCAACTACCAACTTTCCGAACAAGGACAACGAGGGAATGTGCCAGAAAACAGAAATCGAGCTACGCATTAGCGATAAAACTTTCCGCGCAATTGGGAAATGGTCGCTGCCATGTTTGTACGTGGCCCGCCCAGTCCATATCTGCCCTCGCGACCGGCCATCTATAGATACGCTTACGAGAAAACTTGGTAGACGGCCAATTGTAAATAAATACGCAATAAGTTGACGAAAAACATGACACGCAAATATTTCAAAGATGGCTGTCTCCTTGGTTGTAGCATCGTGTAGTCTGGTAGAAGTCTACATACGTTTCAGAGGTGCCTGCTGCCTCCATCTTCAGACTCACCGCCGTGAAAATCTCAAATCCTACTCAACTTAAATTTCGCCAACATTTCAGAGGCCCTTACAATCGTCCTTATGATGAAGGCAGTACGGACCTCTGAAACGTCGGTAAACGTCTATCAGACTAGACCACGTTACAACTTCGTACTACCTCGATATATTTCACTTCATGTACATTTGTAAAATGTATTGGGAATTTGTAGGAGAAAAAGGGTCGTGGCCTGATTTAAAGTTCTGCCCCAGAATTCTTTCTTGGCGGGGTAGACAAACCTCTGAAAGGCCAACCGCTCGAAGAGCCAAAATTTGAACCCTAGTGCGAAACAGGAGACTGAGCACAATTTTGTTCACGACCGAGAGCGAGTCCGGAACAGAAATTTTAAAAATTGAGAGTTCACATACTTCAATAAATACGAGATTTACGATTTTTTACATATATATATCATTCATCTTCATGTTCATTAATTACAGATCTAATGCTGCCAACATAGCCACATTAAAATTACCACTATAAAGAATAAAAGACGAAATGATCTCTGCTTACGTAACCACCATGAAGATCGTGGAGGGCAGGTACACTTCACGCACGTCCGGATTAAGGATTTATGTTTTCTAGGTATTGGTCGGGAAGCCTGAGGGGAAGAGACCTCTGGGGAGACCTAGACGTAGATGGGAGGAAAATCTCAGGCGGGATCTATGGGAGATAGGAGTTGAAGGAGACTGGATTTTGTGGGCCCAGGACAGAGCTTTGGTTAGTTCGGTGATGAACCTTCGGGTTCCCTAAGCCATCTAGTTAGTTGGTTAGGACCTTTGATGGGTGCATTTTTATGGGTGTATCGATTTATATGGGTAGACCGGTAATCAAAATTATCTTAAATATTTTTTTTCAGACAGAAATTTTTTCGGGAAGATATCGTTGTTACAAGATTTATCATACAAATAAAAAAACACCATCGACAATTTCTTCGTAGGCCGCGCGCGCAGCGTCTATTACAAAATACGTTCTTAACTTCTGAGAATATTGATAGTCAGCTTCGTATGCTTTGAACCCCAGAGAATGG